GCTCATGTGTGGTTAGGATGGTGTTTGAAGAGGGAGCAGAGCCCAAAAGGTACCCATCAGAAGCAAGGTCAGGTGCCTGCTGCCCCCACCCCTACAAGCCCAATGGACAGATCCCTGGACTCCTACGGTCCCTAGAAAGCACAGTCTATCCCCTGTGTGACTTGAGTCCAGGTTATTACCAACAAACAGTCAGAGATGCCAAGTTGGGGGCAGGGTTCCCCTCCCCCATTGTGATTCTGGAGGAGAGTGAGACCAGACCACACCAGTAGCAGAGGCAGCTGAGGGGGCTCAGCAAGGGCTCCTTGCCCCTTCTAGGAATGGAGCTTTTCCTGACAGAGCCATTATTCATAAATGGAGGTTTGGAAAGTGGGGGTAGGGGAGGCCCAGGGCACAGCAGGCAGGAGAACACAGTAGCAATGAATACAAGGCATTCTTTGAAACGTGGATATCCCCAAAGGCTAGGGCCGACAGCAGCCTGAAAACCCCATCTACATCATAGGGGGCCTGCAGGGCGCCCAGAACCTGAAGGACGCACTGAGGGCAGCTGAAATGTGCACTGGCCCAGGGGGCTGACCACGAGGACCCAGACTATGCCAGGTAGTGAGAAAAATGAAAAGACAAAAATGTGAGAAAAGAGACCCGCTGGGAGTCAAAGAGCTGGAAGAGTTGAGGAAATGGGGTGCTGGAGTGAGTAAATCTAGGGGTGTTACCATCCGAACCCGTACTCAAAGGGGCTGTTCGCAAAAGTTTGAAAGGAAGTGGGTGGCCGCCTGGTTCCCTCAGCGCCCCACCGGGATTCCCAGGGGAGGAGGTTGTCCGGGCGCCAGAGACCCCGTCGGCCGTGTGGGGGAGGGTGGGCGCGCGCCGGGGTCGCCCTCCCGTGTCTTGCGCGCCGTCTGTGCCCGCGGGGGGATGAGCGTGCCCACCCCAGGCCCCCGGGCGGACACCACGAGGGATGGGCGGCCTCTGGGCAGCCCCGCGGCCCTGCGCTCCCGCCCCTGGTGGCGGGACGAGGCGCCTCCCCTCGCTGCGGGCGCCTGGAGGTGGGGTCGGGAGCCCGAGCCCGGGATTCTGATGTCACCGCGCGGCCGCCGGCGCCCGGGAGCTGGTCTGGGAGCGGAGTCCAGGTACTGAGGAGGCCGAGGGCGGGCGGAAGAAGCGCGCTGGGGCGGGTCTGAAGGCGCGTTGTCCCGGAGGCGCCCCACGGGGAGAGGGCTGGGTGAAAGGTGGGGGCGCCGGGGGTGTGCGCTGCGGGCTCTGGGCCGAGCGTCCTTAGGGTGGAGGTGTCTGTCTGCAAAATCTGTTCTGCACTCGTCCGACGGGGCCCGGACTCCAGAGAGAGGTGCGGGGTAGGGGGTGGGGGCGGGGGGCGGGGATGGGGGAAAGTGCAGGGCTGTCGCTGACACACCAGCTGCCAGAGCTGCTGGAGCAGCGCCCCGACTGAGTCCTTGCCCCTACTCCCCTCCTCGGGCCACCGAGAAACACTGGCGACTCCCTGCCCCTCCCGCCCAGGATCGCACTGTTCCCCCACAGGCACACTAAGCTCTCCTCGCCCAAAGGTGAACCCGACAGGAAAGGCCGAGAAATGCGCGGGCCAGCGGCCATCTGCCCTGCGGGCCGCCCTGCGCGCTGCTCGCGCGGTGTTACTCTGCCGCCCCCTGCGGTCGCCAGGCCGGCGGCACTCTTGTTCCCGCGCTTCCACCCAAAGTTTGAAGCCCTGGATAGTGGGGTTTCCACGAGCACGGGCGCTCTTCCCCCTGGTGCCGGCAGCCCGGATTCCCCCAGCAAGGCTCACAGCTGGACCACATCTAAACCGGAGCCAGACAGACAGGCGCATGGGGAGCAACCTGCCTGGACCAGATCTAGTCTGGGGTGCTGGAATTCAGATGGGGGAGAGGGGGAAGACAGAGAAATCAGATGGTGAGGTGGCCTTTGAGCAATAGTCAGGGCTGATGATTTCTGACCATTGCTGAGTATTTGAGGTTGTCTCCTCTGGTCACCTTACCAGGGAATGCTCCTGTTGCTTTGAAGTGGTTTTATCTAGGAAACTGTCTTCCTTTATGTCCTCAACATCTTCTAACTAAAAGCCTGGGTCTGGTTGCTACCTGGTCCAACCTCTCTGTGAGGTCCTAACTTCCCCACCGCTTGCCAGGCTTGCAAAGAACACGGCAAAGCCACAGGGCTGGGACTGAATGGGCACTCTCCCCTTGGCCAGGCCCCATCCTGGCTTCCTCCTTTTTGAGACTGCTGCGACCACTTCTTTGGCCTCCAACTCTGAACGCTGACGTCATTTGTATCTCCTTTTCTTCTTTAGCTACTCAGCTGACAAATCTATCTCAAATAGCAAGCCACCTTCTTTCAGGACGCCAGTCTGGTGGATTTCTAGCAGGGATTCAGTGCCATATCCCCTGGTCTGGAGAGATTAAGCAAAATGCCTGCAGCAGCTCCAGCCTCTGGGCTTCTGCCCCATGCAGGCACTGACTCTAGCCCAGCCCACAGCTGACCCTCCCATTGATGCAAGAGCTCCTGGAATGTGGCAAACCCCCAAAATGGAGGCTGACAGTAGGCTCCCTACAACCAGTCAAGTGTGAAAACTCTTTGCTTTCTGTGCTGAGAGGAGACCCCCAGACACACAGTCAAGGAGCTGGAGTCTAACACAGCCAGTTTTGGAAAGGACACAGTGTCAGCATCCTGTGTGTCAGCTTACTGGGGACATGGCAGCAAAAGCGTCCTCTAGACACATTAGGGCCAACAAGAAAGCATATGTGCACACATTGTTATTCTCCAAGCTGTTTTCATTTAGTGAATGCACACTCCTTTGTCAACTTATTAAGTCACAAATAAGATAATTTCCAAGGCCTTTCTTTGGAAACTTCTTTGTATTTGAACAGTCACCTGTGCCTGTTGCTGTAGCAAGCCAACATGAGCCAAGGTAAACAGTGCTCCCAAGCTTGGCTCAGAAGATCCTGAGAGAGAGGTGGTGTCTGGGTAGCTCGAGTGGGTTTCCTAGAGGAGGCTGCTGTCCTCCCAGGATCTGCTACTCAGAGTAGCTCCCAGTTTTCCTTAAGTCCAGAGCAAGAAGTCCCTAAGCCCAAGGGTGAGGACTGACCTTCAGGGCAGGGCTTAGCAGTGTTCTGATCCCAGGTGTTCTAGAGCCCTTCTGTGGAACATTGCAGGGACTGCCCCTCTCTCAAGCGACACCACATCCTTCTACCCTTAGCTTCCCGCCCTGTCTTGAGCAGCAATCTGCAGCATCTCGGGCCTCAGGGAAGGAGGTGGCCCCACAAGGGTGACCCTGAGCTCCAGATAGTGTCCAGGAGGTTAGGTGGGCCTGTTTCTCAGTCCCCAGCCCACCTGTTGGTCATTCTCCTCTGTATTCCCCGCCAGGGGCTATACAGCTCCCGGGCCAAGCCCTGCCTCCCAAAGTCCCCACCACCCCAATGGAACATGAGGTTCCCATGATGCAAGCTGCTCTCACTCTTGACTCTGGTACTCCCACCCAGCTCCTCCCCTCAAGCCCCCTTCTGGCACTAGGAAGTGCTAATTTCCGGCCAGTGCTGCTCCAAGCTGTTTCTGATAATTCAGGAGCAGCTTGGTCTGCCTTGGGGGCAACTGCCTCATCCATGCTGTCCCTTTCCCCAGAAGAGTAGTAGGCAGGGTAGAGGTGTGGGGGAAATCAAAGGGGCCCTCTTTCTTCCCCATCAAGTCTGTCATCCCATCTACTCACTGAGGTCCATTCTTTTCCTTGCCAGCCAACAAGTATTGGTTGAGGACTTACATGCAAGGCACTGAGGATGCAGAGATGAATGAACACCTGTCTGTCCTCGGGAAGCTCAGGGGTGGGAAAGGGAAAAGGAAGCAAGACAGCAGTCGGCACGGAGGGTGAGGAGTGCTGTGTCCGGGGATGCTCAGGACACTATGGGCATCCAAAAGGTCAGCCCTCTAGAGCTCTGTTGGAGGGGCAAGAGTGCCAGGGCAAAGGGGAGCGTGAGCCTGTCGCTCTTAGAAGACGGTGTCTGAAATCTCCCAGTAGTTTGAGGGAAGATGGGGGCTGCTGTTGCTCACAGAAGGGGTAGCTTGGACTTGGTCGGAGGCTTCTGGCAGCTTGGGGGCTGGGGGTAAATGGGCTTCCAGCAGGATTTGTTCATAGGAAATAGACTCTGGCTGCAGTAGGCCTGAAGTCAGGCCCAGATTCCAGGCAGAACGCTGCCTCTGCCAGTTGTGTGCCCCTGGGCAAGTCATTTCCCCCTCAGAACCTCATCTGTAAAATGCAGACAGCAGTTGTGAGGATCAGTCTAAATATTTCTATATTGCATCTGCCACATAACTGGCACAGAGGAAGAGAGGAAGGTTGTGAGCTGTCCCTGCCCCCTGGCCTGGGTCTTCCCTCCTCCTTCTTGCCCCCTATGACCTCGTAGCCTTGTGGACCATTGTTTATGGGAGAAAGATCACAGAGGGAAGCTAACAAAGGTGCCAGGAAGCAGCCTGGGTGGGACTGGGCTGGGGAGAGCAAGAGCGTGGGTACATCCTCAGCACTCCAGAGGGTACCTGCTAAAGACGGAGGCTGCGGCCTGGAGAACCCTGGCGGGGCATCAGTAGGGGTCAGTTCCTTCTGCTTACTGAGTTCCCAAACCTCCACAGTTGCTGTTCAGGCAGGTCTCACTACACATGCTATCCCTGGGGTGAGATGGAGGGGCGCTTGGGACCACGTGGCAAGGGGAAGGGCTGTGAAAGCACCGGCTCTCTGTTGGAGCGGCCAGCAGGCTAGTCTTTATTTTTAAAGATTTATTTATTCATGCATACAGAACTGGGGTACAGGCAGGCGAGAGGTGCAGGGGACGTGAGAGGATTCACCAGAGACAGAGTGGGGAGCACAACAGGCAGATTGATGAAGTCCACTGCTGAGGGGAGCAGCGGGCAGGTCAGGGGAAGTCTGCTGCGCCTTGTGGGTCACCTCGGGGGCGGGGATGGAACTCTGCGCTGAAGCCGCTGCGACTCACTTGCAGCGGGGCGCTTTAACCTGTTGTGCCGCCAGGTAGAGCCCTGACCCACCACGTCCGTCCGTCATCTGTGTTCTTCCAGGCCCCAGGTTAGCCTGCTTTGGTTCTCATCCGTCTGGCATGGAGGCCCTGGGTCCTGGGAGCCACAGCGCCTCCCCAGCCTCGTCCACTCGCAGCCCGGACCTGCGGCGGCTGTCCAACCGCGCTGACTCGGCATACAGCTCCTTCTCCGCGGCCTCGGGCGGTCCCGAGCCGCGCACGTTGTCGCCTGGGACCGACCTCCTTCCTTACCTAGACTGGGACTATGTGCGCGTAGTGTGGGGGGGGCCCGCGGCCGCCGAGCCCACCGTTGCCCTGCGCACATCCCCAGAGCCCCGGCCTGCGGCAGCTGCATGCACTGGGCCGCGTCCCCCACAGGTGCAGGGGACCCCGGGGCCGCTCAGCAGGCAGGCCACCCCACTGCTGTACGCGCTGGCAGCCGAGGCGGAGGCCGCGGCGCGGGCCGCTGAGCCGCCCAGCCCGCCGGCCTCGAGAGCCGCCTATCGCCAGCGGCTGCAGGGCGCGCAGAGGCGAGTGCTCCGGGAGACTTCCTTCCAGCGCAAGGAGCTGCGCATGAGCCTGCCGGTCCGCCTGCGGCTGGGGGCAACCGCGAGGCCCCCGTCCGTGCTTCCGCGCTCCGCCTCGCTCAGCCACCCCGGCTGTGGCTGCGAAGCGGAGCCCGCCCACCCTGGGTCTCCAGCGCCAACGACCAGCGACCGGGGCTGCCTGGACGACCAGCGGGGCTGCCTGGACGACCAGCAGCGAAAGTGGTGTTTCTCCGAGCCAGGGAAGCTGGATCACGTGGGGTGGGGCAGTGGGTTGTCAGGGAAATACTCCGCTGAGTTGGGCTCCAGCTCTGGCCTCCCTAGGCTTGAGCCCCAGGAGTTGCAGCGCTGCACGCTGGCAGAGGTCAGATGGCTGCGCGGGAGTCAGCGCGGTGGCACAGAGGACCCAGAACCCGGGTCCTCGAAGCTCGGCGTTGCCTACAGGCTTGCCACCCGGAGTAGGCGTGCTTCAGAGGAAATGTTGGGTTTCTGCGGAGATCAAGGAGGGGCCATGGCTGTATCCCAGGTATGGCAGGTAGGGGCTGCAGGCTTGGAGGGGCAGGGAGCGGGGGTCGGGGGGCATCTACAAAACCAAAACCTTAACCATATTTCATCCAACTGTGCCTTCTAGGCTGTTCCCTACGGAGCAGAATCCTCCAGACCACCATTGTTTCAGACCAGACTATCCAGGTGAGAGACATGGATGACTCTGGAGACTGAAGTAAAAGCTACTGAGGTAGCTTTTACTGTTCTTGCTCTGGAAAGGAGAGGGTCTCTCACCTATCCTTAGTCTCAGCTTTCTGACTCTTCCCACTGTCCTTTGCAAACTCACCCGGGGCTCTCCCAACACGCTGTTTCTCTGGTGCACCACCACGAGCTTCCCTGCTGTCACTGTGACCAGTGTGCAGTCTCTGCCTCCAGGTTCCCCACTCAGAAGGAGGTGGCAGTGGTGTGTCCTACAAAGGGCTCCCACAACAGCTCCCCCCGCTATGAGAAGAGGGGCTCAGACCCTTGTGTTGCGTCTGCACGGCTCCCCTCTCTTCCTGATGATGATGTTTTCCTGGAAGAAGCCCCGTTGGTCAGCGTGACATCACCTTCAGTCTCTCATGACCCCTTGGGGCTCCCAACCAGGTGAATTCCCTCTTGATGGCAAGCAGAGTCTACACATACCTTCAAAATGCTAGAAGGAAACTCCTGGGATCCCAAGTGGTGGGTGGTGGCAGGTAATCCTTGGAAGCTTCCACTTATCTTCAGCCACCTGATAATGTTTCTTTTTCACCTCCAGTGTCCATGCCCCTCCCCAGGAATACAGAGCAGGCTTGGGTCAAAGGGCTGACCGGGCTACAACCTCCCCAGAGTACTCCTTTCATAAGTGCCCAGAGACTGCAGGGGCAGGTGACTGTTGGCACGAGGTACCTGGTTCTGTGGATGTCTCCAGTCCAACATGCTGTAGCTCCCCTGGGACTGCAAATGGTGACCTCCCAACCATTGACTCCAGTGGACTGCTGAATACTGACCCCTCTGCAGCTTCAGGGAGTGACCCCCTTAAGCCTCTCCCAATGGATGCCCTGAAACCTCCAGGCAGTGATACCCCAGGATCACCTGACCACAGTGCCCTGGCCTGGGGCATTGACCAGCCTGCTTCCAGATCAACTTGGCCCAGTCCCCGCCTCGAAGAGCTGATTCAGGAGCTGGCTAGACTGGACCCCTCTCTGAGTGACACTCTCACCTCCTACCCCAGCCCAGAGCCACCTGTGGCCCTGATAGATGGGCTGATTCCGATAGCCGAAGTCTGGGCTGCCATGAGGTCAGTCTGTGGGGAGGCTGGAGAGAATGCTGCTGGCACCTCTGAACCAGGGTGAGTAAAGGGCACCAGGGACTTGGGAGATTCTAAGCATTCCAGGGTTGGAAAATCTAGAAAGCTCTGGCTTTGTCCCCACACCCTACCTATTTAGCTCTACCCAGCTCCTGCCAACTTCGCAGAAGGAGTCCAGGCCTGAAAGTCTTAGTACCCATCCTGTGCCTGACATCCCACGTGGCCACGCTCTTCCTGAGCCGAATAATAGCATTCAAGCCAAGAAAGTGAGTGTGGAGGGGCTGCTGGAGGTCTGGGTTGGGAGGCCAGAGGTCCGAGGCTGAAGTACCCACGCCCTGCCTGTAGGTGGAGCTAGCCAGTCTCCTCCAGAAGATGCTGGAGGACCTTCAGGGCGAGCAGGAGCGACTGCGAGAGGTGGCCCAAGCGTGGGCCAGGCGCGGGACTGCGCTGGAGGCCGCGGTGGGTCAGGCCTGCGCGCCCCGCGAGCTGGAGCGGTTCAGTCGCTTCATGGCGGACCTAGAGCGTGTTCTTGGGCTCCTGCTGCTGCTGGGGACTCGCCTGGCCCGCGTGTGCAGCGCGCTGAACCGAGCCGGTGCGGACAGGGACCCTGACGAGCAGGTAAGAGGTTCAGGCCGGTGAGGGGCCTCTGGTTTCTGGCCTGAGCTATCCTGGGGGCAGCGGCACCCTCGCTGCGCTCATGGAGCGCTCTCCCTGCGGCTCCAGGCCTCCCTGCTGCAGCGACTCCGGCTCCTGCAGCGGCAGCAGGAGGACGCCAAGGAGCTGAAGGAGCACGTGGCGCGGCGCGAGCGGGCCCTGCGCGAGGTGCTGGCGCAGACGCTGCCCGCCCGGGAGCTGCGGGCCTACTGCACCCTGCTGGCCGGGAAGGCCGCCGTCCTGGCCCAGCAGCGCAGCCTGGACGATCGTGTCCGGCACCTTCAAGACCAACTGGACGCGGTCAAGAGCGGCCTTGGTCAACGACTCTCTCCTCCTTTGCCTCGTGGACCAGCCTGGGTCCCAGGGATCGGACCTCGCCATAAAGAGCCCTTCCCCTCTCCCCTCAACTAGGGACAATGGAGGTGGGGCGCAGGCCCAGCTTTTCCAGGATACTTCTTACAAGTATGCTCATGTGGTCTCACCAAATCTTGCAGTTGATAATGAGTTGATGGATTTAAGAAACAAAACCCCCTTTTTCTGTGTGATGAGGGATTACCTCAGGGTTGGTGGAAAGCAGAGGCCATAAGTCAAGGAGCATTCGATTGAAGATGCATAACAGCTTTTTATCAATAAAAATTGGTTTGTGTGGTTCGTGGGTCACCTGTAGCATAGCTTGGGGCAGGGATCTTGTTTATCTATTTACTAGAGCAGAAGTGGGGTTTCTGGGTTGACTTCAGTCATGTCTAGGAATCGCTAGGAATACTGGAGGACTTGAAAAAAGGGTGGAACAGGTGGATGGTAGGCCCTCGACTCCACTGCTGCCAGTGTTCCCTAATTCTGGAGACAACTTCACTTCCTCAAGTCCATGCCCGGCTGGCTGATTTTCCAACTTCAGTAGTAGTGGTGGGGTTACTGTTTCCCTTATAAAACCCCAAAGTGGAAATGGTTTCTGGTGCTTTTGTTCTTTAAAAACCCTGGTAGATAATCCAGTTCACTTCGGCATTTGGGGGCATTCACTCCAAGATTCAGAACTTTCTTGTCTTCAGTTGTTATGAAAACTGAATTTACTGCATTCTCCTTTGGAAACTCCACTGAGTCAGCCAGACTTGAGGGGAGTTGGAGTGAGGAGCTGAAGGCGAGTCCCGAGGGATGCAGAGAGCGCCACATGGGGACTGAGGACCTGGAGAGGCAGCTCTGCTTATGTGTTAGCAAGATGATCTGGGGTGGGCTGGTGTGTTATGAAACAGTTTACACTCTCCTCTTTATTTATGCATCAGTCCTCTGTACACTGAGTCAATGTTCTCAAGTACCCATGTAAAAATCTACTTTATTGCTTGTAGCTGCAAATGTCAGGGACATGAACATTGTTCATCAAACACTCAAGTATATTTTTGGAGTGGGGCACACAAGAAAAGCATGTGTGTGTGTGTGTGTGTGTGTATTTAAAACCAACTGACCTCAAAGTGAGAAATCTCTGCTTCTGGGCTTGTTTTCTCATGTATATTGTCACTAAGTGCAACCGGTTGGGAATTTTAAATGGCCATATTCATACCAGAAGCATTAGTTATAACAGTTGTACTATTGAACACAGAACAATGCTCACATTGTGCCTTTTTATAAAAAACATATGGAGTTCCTGCTGAGGCATTGCAGTTCTAACATTATGCTTTGCTTCACTTCTTTGAACACTGTGGGTGGGGCCTTCCATTTCTCCATCACATTCCCCCATTGTGATGTTACTAGAAACACAATGACCGTTAGGCCAGTGGAAATTGTGAATCTCAGACAAAGATCTCCCAGTCCAGATTGGGCATGAGAAATAGTGTCTGGCATTGCCACATTGACCTTTGATTCTATTTTGGGTTTTTATTTTTTAAAGATTTATGCATACAAGAATTAGGGTACAGGCCAGATGTACGGTGTGTGTGTGTATGTGTGTGTGTGGGATTTCGCCAGAGAGTGGGGAGCAGAACAGACAGATCTACTGAAATACACTGCTGAGGGGAGCAGCAGTAGGTGGGTCAGGAGAGGTCTGCTGCACCATGTGGGTCAGCTCCCTGGTCGGGGATCAAACTCCTGCTGCAGCAGAGTCTGCAGAAAGCATCTTAGTGCTGTGCTTTAACTGCTTGCACCACCAGGGAGGGCCCTGTTCTGAGTTTTTCTGTGGAGAAATACGAGTCTTCTGTTCTTGTCCCTTCCAGATCGAGGAGACCCCTACAGTAAGGCCACACCTCCAGTGCTTGTCCTTCCATCTAGCCTCTGTCACCTTCTAGTCTCAGTTTATTTCCCGTCCGCCAAGAATGAACTCCCCATAAGAGTTCTTTCTAGGCACCACAGTCAGACTCTTGGGGGACCGGAAGCCCGGTGAATTGCATCCTGCGTGACACTGCCAGAAGAGGGCACTGCTCTCCTGTTGATGCCAGCCGCTACCCACACTACCACCCGCAGCGGTCTCTGCTGCAGCCCTCTAGACTTCGCCTAGTCCTGCTGAACTATGTCCCTGCTGTACCTGCAGCCTTCTTGTTTCTCTAGGAAATACATTCTGGCCAACTAGCCACGGAAAGACAGACTCTTTCTCCTTTGCCACTAGGCCTTCATTGGAAAGTTGTTGGTTAATGAGAAGGGTGGGGGAGGAGAACCGCACCATATCTGTGCAGTTGACATATTTTGCAGAGCAATCGGCGTCACAAAGAACCACTTAGCTCCTCAATGGAAAAGAGGGCTACGTGGGTCTCTTGGGGTTTCTACCCTTATCTCAAGCTGTCTGCGTCCGTTTTTGCTCTTCTGTCCCCCAGCCGTGATGCTGCACCAGTGCCCTCCGGCTTTGGGGAGCGCAGGCTTCAGGCTGGAATTGTTGCTGGGCAACAGGCAATCGCGCGGCCGCCTCCCCCGCTCTCATCCCGCCCCTGCTGCTCCTCCTAATATGGATTTAATTAGTGCACTTTTTACCTTCAGACTGTAAATTGGAAACGGAATCGGGGAGCAGCGTCTCAAGCCCGCGCGCAATCTGTCCCCAACAGCTCGCTCTGCACACCATGTACCTCCGCCGCGGCTGCGTAAACCTCAGGGAGCCCATTAGGAAGAAATCATTCACATGTAAATCAGAAACCTAAGAGGAAATTTCCGTCAAATGTGGTTGACGGCCGGCCGCCGGCCGTAGGGAGAGATGAGGTGAAAGGGGAGGTCTGGGGTGCGGCTGCGGTTTTTATAAAGCCGTCTTTCCGAGGACCGCTTACTTTATTGTCACCGGCTACAATTTAGTTGCTGTGGATGGTTACCTGTTGTCTTTGAGAGTTAAGTCAGCACCAACTTCCCACTGGAAGGTGTTCTTTTCTTCTGAAGACAAGCCTGGAGATTCATATTCTCTCCCCCCTTCTTCCGCCTTCTCTGCAGTCACTCAGGGTTCAAGTCCATAGGTGTGGCAGTTTTGAAAGGGCGCAGTCAGAGTTGACGTTCAATACACAGTGCTGTCTGGAGAGCAATGGAGTTTCTGTGACACTATTGAATAGGTGTGTGTTGTGGGGAGCAGGGACGCTAGAGGAATGTGAATTGTTGTTATATGGCTTAAAGGAAACTTGGACATCAGGGTAACAAGAAGTGGGCTTGCTGTACTGGGGGTGGCCCAGTGGGTTGGCAAGCCGGGGGCTTATATAGACCTTCAGTTTCTACATACAAGGTTCTAGGTGGGTTCGTGCTGGTAGCTGTTCATGGTTAGCTATAACACGGCTACATACCAAGAAGTGAGTAGAGGCCCATAGTCACAGAATTTTTCAGGTCCATCTTGCTTCATGGTTAGCATTTGTGGTGGTACCTGGCATAGCAGGAACTGAGCAAAAGGTTGTTACTCATGACCCCAAGGCTATCTAGCTAAGGTCACCATGCTTCATTATGAGAGATATCATACATATTTTTACTAAAGTGACATCACAGCTGGATATGGGGTTTCCGATTTGTGGGTATTTCCTCAGCGTTTATTGGTATTGATGTGTACAAATACCAACATGGTATTTGTAGCTGCATAAAGCTAACCCACAAATCAGAGCTATTGGTTTACAGTGCAGCCTGAAAACACAATGGACAGCCCTGCTAAGGTTTCAGGTTGGTGTTAGAGTTTGCAAGAAACTCTGCATACTCACTGGATATGCTCCTCTCCCCACAGCCTGTAGAACTTGTACTTGCAGACTTAGGATCCTCAGAGGAGGGAGATGAAGTCTGGAGAATTGAGGGACTTGCTTAAGGTCACTCCGTGGGTGAAGGCCTGAGATGAAACCTTGCTTTTCTGCAACTTGACAGCGAGATGGAAAGAATACTCTCCTGCATTCCTGGATCTGACATGTACTAGCTGTGAGGTGCCAACAAGTTACTTATAGTTCCTTTGCCATCAGTTTCTCACTTTCAAAGCTGTAACAGTACACTCTTTCTAAGGTTGTGGTTAATAGCGACAAAGTAGTTATTATTAACTGTGTCTTAATAAATACAGGTTACATAATGCATTATCCATGGCCTCATCTCCATTAGGTGAAACATGCTCAAGATCAGCCTCCAACTTCCTTTAAAGGATGTATAAAACTTTATTTAAAAGCTTGCTATAGCTATGACTCATTCACATCAACAATTAATTTCTCTCCCATTTAGAGGGATTCTTTCTCTGTGACAGTTCGAGCCAGCTAAATTGCCATATCTTATTACATGACTATCATCAGTTGTTGGGAAATATCCTTTACCAGTATACCATCTGCTGGGCCATTTGTGGTTTTTGAAAACTTTCACTCTGTGTATCCAACTCTAATTTCCTGCCAATGTCCCTTATAGTTGCAGAAGGTCTTGGCTTGCAAGGAAAATGGAGTGGCTTCTAATACCCTTTTTTTTTTTTTTTTAAGATTTATTTATGTTTACAGAGCTGGAGTATAGGCCAGAGCTGTGATTGGTGAGAGGATTCACCAGAGACAGAGTGGGGAGCAGCAGGTGGGTCAGGAGCAATCTGCCAGCCATGTGGGTCAGCTCCCTGGCTGGGAATTGAACCTGTGCTGCAGTGGCTTGGGAGAGCTTCATAATGCAGTGCTTTAAACCGTTGCACCACCAGGGAAAGCCCTAATATCTGTGCTTTAGGCTTATTGACCCCACACTCTTGCCAGATGTTTTCATTCATTTGGAAAACTTGCAGTACACCCTTCTGAAATACAAAGAATCTTTTGGCAACTCAACTAACTGTCCTGTTTGACAAACATCAGTTATTGTCTTTACTACTTTGCTGGTTTAGATTTTGTGTTTCTCAAAACAGGTGATGCCTGTGTTTGTGATCTTTGTTACCCTAAGAGAAGCCTCTTTTTACCATGTAGAATTTCTAATATTTTATTCTGTCTTCTAGACCTACAGCTACTCATATCGCTATAATTATTGCCTCCCACAATTTTTCTGCAAAGGCAGAAGATTTAATTTGCATCTTAATATAATTTATTCAGCTTAGCTAATGTTCCAGGCAAGGAAAGTGAAAGGATCAGATCAGGGCCCACATTTACCTACAGTTTTTGGCTACCATATCTGTGTGTGGTCAACATATTTTGCAGAGTAATCCAAACTAATATAATGCTTGAAAGAGGCAGAGGATGAGGAGAAGGGGAAAGAAATTAAGTAAAGAGAAAGAAAAGAATATAGGTGCAAAACTTAGACTTTTAAGGGAAGTACATCATCACAAGCAAGAAGAAAATGGGAAACTTTATTTTAATGCTTAAATCAAAACATTCCATGAAGGGACTGCTTTAAGTAATTTCAGAAGCTTCAATGAGAGGCGAGTCTCCCTCTGTGCCACAAAAACAATTTGCTATAACCAATGACATGCAGATATAGTTTGCAAAAAGCAGAACATTCTCACAATATATTTATATATATATATATAAAAAGTTGGTTGAGCAAATAGATCCCACATCTTTAAGACAGAAAGGAGTTGTTAAAATTACACTGTTGAGCCTGGGAAATCTTCGAAATGTCAATGAACTTTCTCCATTACAGCAAACAAAGGTCCAGAAAGGTTAAGCCATTCCTCCAGGGTCACTAAACAAAGATTCTCCATTTACTATTTTGGAATAAGCTGTTTGCTTAGAAAAATGGGTATCTGATACTTTTTACTTGTACAGAACTTTAATATCAAATTATATCCCTCACTACGTAACCAGTTATTTTTCTGGTGCAATGCTATGACTTTTTTTCTTTGAATATTCCTCTGCAGCACTAAGAGACTCAGATTTGAAAACCACAGATTCAGAACCATGGCACAAAGGTGCAATTCACAATTAAACCACACTTTAAAAAATTAAATATTCATCAAATCAAAATAGTCATCACCAGTGGCAAAGGCGTAATTATAGTATCTGCCAAAATGTCTTTCTCTCACTGTTAAATCACCTACACTCCCAAAATACATATTTTCCTAGTATTCAGCATCCACAGGACAACTGAGATTCATCACATTCACAATGGTCATGATGGTGTTCTGTGTTCAAAACTCCAGAATCTTGGTTTCCGAAAATGAGGTAGATAAACATTTAAGGATTTTGTTGTTTGGGACTAATTTCCTCTAGATCTTGATCATCTTTGTTTTTAAATAGAATTCCAAAATATTTAGCAAAAAATTGAAAATGAGTACTTTGCCTTAAAATGGAAAAATATAATTTCAAAAGGTTATTATGAAAATTCTTTTACCTCATTAGAATTTAAAAACAGAATAAAAGCATCAAATTACAAAACAAGCACTCTGAAAGCTGACAGACAACCCAACATCACACAACACTTAGAGAGCTCCTTGCTCTAGTTCTGGCTTGGGAGTGTATAGGTACTGAGGCATCCGATTAACTCATTCAGGGGCCAGACAGCTGCTGTCCCCTTAACCTTTGATCCTAAATTCCAAGTCTCCTCCGAAATTCAAGCCAGGCTTCTGACTCCATGTCTGGAGACGGGTCAAGCTTCAGTCAGAAGCTGGAGACGTGGGTCCACGAGGCAGTCGACAAGTTGGAAAAAGGGTTGGAGCCACAGGTATAGAGGAGTTGTCCTGGACAGGCTTAGACTGTGGGGAGCAGGCCCCCGCTTTCATCAACCGAGTGGTAGGTAGCCTCCAGGACGATCAAGTTGTGGGAGGCAGAGTAGGCATTAGACCAGCGAAAGGCGCGGGGTTGGGTCGACGGGAGATCTCCGCGAAGGCTGGCAGGCCACCGCGGATCTTTGTCTTTTTCCGAGCCGCCATGGGTGAAGCGCCCAAGAACTTGCTGAGGGAGCCCGACTTCCTCAAGCCTCGAGCCAGGTCCTGGAGTTTCTGGTCGTCGGTCAGGACGCCTAGAAAGGCGCTGGTGGTGGAACTGAGGATGGTGGCGGCCACCTGCACTGGGCGCCGGGCCGCGAAACTGCCACTACCACCGCCCGCCGAGTCGGACTCGGTGTAGCCTGGCAGACCCGGGTCTCCGAGTAAGCGGCGCAGCGCGTACGAGGCGCCCGGCGGCAAGTACTGGTAGGCGCGTCGCCCGCTGTGGTCGCGCACTTGAACCTGCGCCCCCAGATCCTTCACCAGCAGCACCGCGGCGTCTTCGCGGCCGTGCAGAGCGGCCAGGTGCAGCGGCGTGTAGCCGCCGTGGGAGCGCGCGTTAACGTCGACCAGCACGCCCCCACCCCGGGCCACCTCCACCAGGCGCAGCGCCATCTCCTGGTCCCCGCTCTTGGCGGCCCAATGCAGCGCGGTGTAGCCAGACACGAAGTCGCGCTTGGCCGCCAGGCCACAGTCGCGCAGCAGTAGCCCGTGCAGCTGATGGGTCCAGCGGCCACCGGACGCCCGTACTAGCCACTCGTGCTCGGTCGGTTCCAGGGGGACCGCGGACGGCGACGTGGTGGCGGGCACCTCCTCGGTGTCGGGGCTCAGCAGACGCAGGCCGGCGCGCGACGGGCGCCTCAGGTGCGGCGAGCGGCCCAAGCCCACACCTGGGCCCAGGCCAGACTCCTCCACCGAGAGTCGGCGAAGCAGCAGCGGGGAGCTGCGCGGGCTGCGCTCTTCCGACAGCTGCCGACGCGGGGCCAGTTCCTCCCCCCGAAAGCGCGAAGCTGGGGTGTCGGGGACGTAGCGCACCGGCAGCATGCAGGGCTTCCGCGGAGCGGGTGGCGGCGCGGGAGGCTCCTTCGGGGCCGCAGGTCCAGAGTCCGACTCCGTCATCTCCGCGTCTGACAAGGTCGCCTCTGAAGGGGACCTGGACGGTGGGGCCAGGTCTGCTGAGAACCCCTCCGGGGGCTGGGCTAACTCAAAAGTTGGAATCAGGGGTTCTGAGGACCCCCGTGGCAGAGGGGCGGGGCCCAACAGCAGCTCGGGGGTTGGCTGAATGGGCTCCGAGGCAGGGGTGTCCAGTGGCTCTGACAGTGGGGTCAGGTCCTCGGGTGGTGCCGTGGGGCTCTGCTCCGAGGCCGAAGACGGAGCCTCCTGGGCAGCGCTTTCTTCGGGTGAGACGGAAATGACCGTCGACGGCGGGGTGGATCCCCCGGGGGTGCTGGCGACGCAGGACTGCTGGGGCTCGGGCTCTTCCCGGGGCCGCAGCTTCTTCAGCACCACGAACTTGACGCCGTCGAACTCCTTCACCACCGCCACGGCGTTGACGAACTGCTTGAAGCGGTCCCTGCGGGCGGCGCGGCCGCTCGGGTCGCCGGCATCCACCAGCGGCTTGAAGCGGCTCCGCAGCTCGGAGTTGCGCACCTTTCCGCCGTGCTCCTGCAGGAAGCCCAGCACCGCCGCCTGGCTCACCCCGGCGGCCGCGGCGGCCGCGGCTGCGGCTAGCGCCATGGTCCTTCCCGATCCCCGCCGCTCTCCGTTTCCGGCTGCTGGGCCAGGTGAATGTCGCCGCGCCCTCTGGGACGCGCAGGTGTGGGGGTTCCGGGAGTCGCAGGCTCCCGGCGGAGCTCACCTGATCGCTTTCACCGAGGCAGAACGGGCGTGTCCAGAAGCTGGACCTCGGTCACGCCCGCGCGGCGAGTCTGGGCGGTCTCGGCGAGAAAGGCTCTGGGGGCCGCGGCGCGCATCCTCCGCGGCTCTGCCGGGCCCCCGATCTTCGGGGTATGTTCCAACCTTTATATTCTGTCCAATGGGCGCCGGGCGTCATCCCCCGCGCGCGGTGCTCGCCTTACAGGTGACAGCTGCTACCAGCGCCGCGGAGGGAGTGCGGGAGCGGAAATTCTGCACCGCACCCACTACCCGGGAATTAAAGGCGCAGTGCCATGCTTCAGCTCGGCTCGCTCGCGGTTGCTAGGTGGGTGTGTTCCCCGGGGCTGCGGTGGCTAGGATTCGACTGGAGGCAAGGGTTTTATTCCTTTAAGAAATATTTAGCTACCACAAAATACCGGGCGGTCATTTAAAAGCTACCATTTATTTTAAGACGATCAGTACCTCTCCCATTGTCGATTGCATTTCATACAGGGTTAACAGTTTCAAATAATTTGCAGCCAAGACAATACGACTGGCAATGCTTAGGTCACGCGTTTTAAAACGCAAATTTCTCATGATAAAATAGCACATTTTCACATGGAATTTTTTTTGGTAAAACCGTAGGAAAAATTAAGAGAGTAAAATACCACCTAAAACCACTATTAACATTTTGAAAAAAAATTTCTCTATCCCCTCCGCTTATGTGTATGCATATTGGTGCTTTTGAATAAGAAAGCCGAAGCATCAGTGATGCTACATTGAGAAACTTCATTTAATCCCCAAATATTTGTTGGGCACCTCATTTGTGCCAGGATCTTTTCAAGTAGTTATGCATCCATTAGCAAGACCAAAAAGCAAAACGTAAAACTTCTGTACTTTGTAGCGGTCACATGGAGGGGAACAGAAGCAATAAGTGAATTTGGAAATTGGATAAAATGCAAGATGAATATTACGGAAGAAATAAAGCAAGGCAAAAACAGAGGAGTGACCAGTTGTAATTTTGAGCCCACTGGTCAGGGCTCCACTCTTTAAGGTTACAATGAAGCAAGGACTTGAAGATCAGAGAGTTAAGTGGGAGAAGTTTTTTTAGCTACAAATCCAGGGCAAAGGTGGAATTGTTATAAGGGAATACAAATCAAAACCACAAAAAGATTCTGTAACAGGGTGGTCCCTAGGAAAAGGGGGAGTTCCAAGTTCCCTGCCCCACCCAGGAGGCTGGAGCTGAGCAGAGAAAAAGGGGAGAAGAGAAGGAATCAAGAGGAGAAGAAGAGAATGAAGCTGGATGGAGAACAAGAAGGAGACCTGAGGAAGCCACATGCAGCAGCAAGCATGTGATGAAGAAATAGTGCTTGTTTCCTGACCCTGGACTGGTTAAGGCAGATGTGGGTGAGAGACCTATAGGGAGGTGACTGT